CTGATATTCTACCCCTGTTGGAGGCAAAGTGGGAGGGGGGGGGTGCTGACTCACGACCCCCATCACACCCCCCCTCCCCCGCTTTGAGAACTCACCTACGCAAAGGGAGGGGGGGCGAGACCTGCTGCCCTGAGCTTCCCCCTGAACTCACCCTCCCGGCTGGGCACTGCCCTACAGCCCTGCACCTCCAGGGCTAGCTCCAGCTCCGTTGTGGCAAACAGAGATTCAGATACCAAGCATGGTTGCAAACTCACGACCCCCATCACACCCCCCCTCCCCCGCTTTGAGAACTCACCTACGCAAAGGGAGGGGGGGCGAGACCTGCTGCCCTGAGCTTCCCCCTGAACTCACCCTCCCGGCTGGGCACTGCCCTACAGCCCTGCACCTCCAGGGCTAGCTCCAGCTCCGTTGTGGCAAACAGAGATTCAGATACCAAGCATGGTTGCAAAGATCCCCCGCTCGCTTTTGTGGCCGTGCATGCAATTTGGGGCAGTAAAAATTGGTTTAGAAATGGAACCCAGAAACCACTTAATCACAGCCGTTAACATGTGCTACCGACCCTGTGGTATAAAGCGTAAGTACTCTTAATACTGCAGAGCCCACAATGAAACCTGCCTGTTGCCAGTCCCGGTGATTAACCTTTTACATCCTTAATGTAGATACACATTTTGTATCAGTGAAAGGCTCTAACTCCTCACCTCTCCCCACTCTAGAGGAGGAGGAAATGAACAGTAGGGATCCCTCCACTTCTCAAGGGTACCCTCCTTAGGACATAGGACTAGCTTTCCTGCTCCTGCTTTCTAATAAGGCATTAGAATTGAATACAGTAGGCACCCATTAACAATCCAAATTTGCACATCTGCATAATTAGCAGCTTGAAAGACAAAGGCCAGGGTTTTAAATCTTAAAACTCCTCTTGGCACAGTTGTGAATTAGGTGCTTTGTGAGATAGTTTCAAGCATCACTATTAACCATTATGGAATCTTTAGCAGCAAATATTTAATTTATTGAAGAGACAGTCTCAAAATCCTCCACAATAAAAGCACGGAATGAGGTGCACACTTCTGTTATAACTTATCAAGTTTATTAAGACTAAAAAAATACAAAAAAAATCAAATCATATAAAGCAACTGAAGCATAATTACATCTAGACTGATTCTTTCTAAATAAATTGTTACTGCTAAGGCACCTTAAATCTACAAATAGCAACAAAACAGTGACTAGAAAAGGTCACAATGCTTGCTGCTAAGAGGTTAGTTTGGGCTCCATCCAAACTGAGTTCCTGAGGTATCTTTTTTCTTTTTAAAAGGCAACTTGAAAATATTAACTGTGCAGAAAGAGATAGAAATATTGCAAATGTAAATGAAATCCATACAGCTTCCAATAGGCAAACCATCATGATTAACTTATAGCTCAAATTATCCCAAATATTTTATAAATATTGGTGCTGCAACAGATCAATAAATGGCAAAGTTTGTAAAATTCCCTCATTAAGGTGAAGGGGGGGGAACCCTCTTTTAGAATTCGTATTCCAGTGTTTTTACGGAAATCCAAAGTGGTGGACCTGTATTACGTATTAGACAGACCTTAATGGGGTCAGATCTACCAAATGTGTGTGGTTAAAAATTCTCATTTTGAAGTTGTGTCTAAAAAAGAAACCTCTGTTACTTATCCAGTACATAGCAAAAGATCTGGATTTCCTTAAACTTGATCTGAAACTTGATCCTGAGCTGAAATCCCTTACAAAGTACAAACTTTTCACCCCAAAGGGAAGTTTCTAAATGGAAACATGGTCCTAACTAAATTACTGTGCTGTGATATCAAGAAAGCAGGGTGGCATTGACAGTTGTAGATGCTTACTGTTAGTGAAAGGCAACACTGAAAAGTATTAAGTCAGACACGTCATTAATATGTTTGTTCCGTATCAGCTGACAACTAAATCACTAATGGAGTGTCCATGCTAAACAAGACAAACAGAAAATGTGTTTAATAGCCTCTTCCCTCTAGCTCCAACAAGCGCATTACCACACACATGCCAGAATTAGTCTGGCAACACCATTCTGATAGACATGTATGTTATCTTGGGGAAGGGGTGGGGAGTAGTGAGAGTAGTAATTAAGGGCAAGTTGTCTTGTTAAGTGGGATTTGGGCCACGTTGCCTTTTAATGCTTTATTTTAAGGCAGCTACATGAACAACTGTTGTGGTGAGCTTTGGAACTTACTCTTTTGTCTTGTATTTATTATGCAAATAGGAAGTCAACTGATACCCATGGACTCGTGGAATGCTAGAGCAGGAATAAAGATAAGAGCAAATACGACCTTTTATACATATGGAGGCAGTTGTGGTAGTATTGCAGCAAGAAAGCATATGAGACCTGGATGAGGGAGGACTATGGTTGTTTTTCATACAGCTACCGAGGAAAAGGTTGGCAGGAAAGGAGCTTATGAATGGGAATAGTGCCTACAGAAAATGTGGAGAAATAGAGCATGGATGTATGTGGCTGTTCAAGGAGCTCATGGGATACTTTCAGCTGCCCCTTACGAGGTCACTGAAAGATGATGGCTTTTTTGGTCCTTCAAGGACACATGACTTTTCATCACGCCTCCCTATGAATAGTTTTTGCATCTCTGCTTTGCCCACTTAGAAAATGGTTCCTATTTGTTTATACCTGTATTTCCCTCAAATTCTTCTGCTTCTGATGCATAAAACCTTTCATGAGCTTACATCCCATTCTGGTCCTGAGTCCAGTGCAAGAAAGAGGTTATGTTCAAGATCTTAACACGGAGCGCTGATGGCACCAGAATTCACCTTCTACAGGGAGGAAGATCAGTGCAATGAGCAGGTCTTACATAGACCCAGTGCTGCTCCTCTAGTGGCTTGGATCCTCTACTGCATTAACTTAATCTACGATCTCTTTTGAGGGCAGCAGCAGCTTTCCAGGCAGCAATACAGTGAGAGAGCAGAATCTCTTCTGGGAACATATCTTCCTGCTCTGTAAGTACGCTGCTCTCTTTACGTTCAATGTACGAAAAAAGCGTTTCCTTCAGGCTAGAAAATAAGGAGTGAGAAAACACTTAATATTGCACTATGCTGTATACATCTTACACAGTATTTTACAGACATGCACTGTTCTATATACTTCTTGCAGTTTAAATGGTACTACAGGTCAGCTTCAAAATACACTGGCAACCCCTGTGGAAACTCAAGAATGTAGATGTGGGAAGTGCTGCAGAATAGGATTGCAGTGCAAGGGCAAAGCTGTGTATGGAAAGCCAACCGTGCTTATGTGTGCTATGCTTGAATTTGCCCAGTGCTCACATTTCTTAGGCCACTCAAAACAGCAATTCCCATTTGAATTTTTTACATGTTTAACTACTATTTAGAAAAGCCACCTGCCCCAAGTGTTGTGTAAACATTCTTTGGACTGGCTGTGGCTTTTCACTATTCAGTCAGTTGGTGTTATGTGCTTTGTATCCAACAGAGGAAGTAAAAACTAAGGGAATGCATTGCCCTTTTGCAAATTCATGTAAATGACTGAAATAAAAAATTAGCATGTGAAGGTGGTTAGGTTTGGCTTCGCCTGAGCAGTCCATTACCTCCATGTGGGTTTAAACTCATCTCCAGCTTTGGCATGTTTCAGTTTCAGGATGATCATTTCGTGCAGCTCCTGCAGGAATGTCTCCAGCCCGGCCTGAATAAGGAAGGTGTTAAGGAGCTTGGTGTTTTCTGAACTGAGCTCAGCTTTATAGGCTGCATCAACATCCACAAAGGGATCCTAGAAGGCACAACAAGAACATGCACAAGTGAGCAGTTTCCTCTGGGGAGAAGAAAAAACACTACATTGAATGTTGAGGCCAGATCCTTTCCTACCCGTTTGAGACGCAGCAGTTGCTCAGACTTGTGAGTAGAGAGGAGCTGCCACAAGGCTATGATGTGCTTTAGGTGACATCGGCTTAGGGTCTGAAAGAGAAACACACAAATGAGTGGAATTCTGCAGGTGGACTAGGAATACCTTGCTGTTTGTGTGTGTTGCAGAAGAACACAGTGAGGCTTAAAACAATTAGACTAGTCTGCCTTTTACAGCACGAGAGTAAGCACAGGAAGGCAGGTGCAAGTAGGTGGGGTGACAGTAGATGGGAAACAAGTGATCAGCAAGAGTAAAACATCAGGACAAATTGCCATGTCACCCAGCCCTGACACCCTGGATGTGGAGGCCTGCTTTCCAAAAGGCAGTCCTCCCCATTCCATCTCTGTCCCGCAACTCCACCCCTAAAGAATCTGTGCAGGAGGCGGGCAAAGTAAAGGTGGAACTAATGCCATGTGTACTGGAAAGCAGGTAGCACTCTGTCTGTCACAGAAACAGTTTCTTCTGGCATGACCATGCCCATCAGTGGGGAAAAGAGAGGATCCCCCTCCCCCATCCTCTAGAGCTTGTGGGGGGGGGGGGCGCGGAGGTATGTTCAGTTCTGTGCTCGTAAAAGTTGACTCTTCAGTAAATGCATCCCTTGATATTTGCCTTCCCTTGATTTCTATGACAGCATCATACCCAGCACTTGTATCACCTAACACCAGGGCTGTGTCTACATTGGCCCCTATTCCGTAATAGAGATGCTAATGTAACACTTTGGAATAGGCAAATCCGCGGGGGATTTAAATATCCCCCGCGGGATTTGCATTTTCATGGCTGCCGCTTTTTTCCGGCTTGTAGATAAGCCGGAGAAAAGCGCCAGTCTGGACGCGATCCTCCGGAAAATAAGCTCTTTTCCGGAGGATCTCTTATTCCTACTTTCAACAACTTGAAAGCAGGAATAAGAGATCCTCCGGAAAAGAGCTTATTTTCCGGAGGATCGCGTCCAGACTGGCGCTTTTCTCCGGCTTATCTACAAGCCGGAAAAAAGCGACAGCCATGAAAATGCAAATCCCGCGGGGGATATTTAAATCCCCCGCGGATTTGCCTATTCCAAAGTGTTACATTAGCATCCCTATTACGGAATAGGGGCCAATGTAGACACAGCACAGGAGTCCTGCCCTTGTTCCTGAATCCAAGCAGGACACTCAGGGTACGTCTAGACTACAGGATTTTATCGACAGAAGTTTTGTCGACAGTATCTGTCGACAAAACTTCTGTTGACAAAGAGCGTCTAGACACATTCAGTTCTGTCGACAAAGCAAGCTGTTTTGTCGACAAAACCCTGTAGTCTAGACACAACCCTACATGCAATAACACCTTCTGTCGACAGAACTCTGTCAACAGAAGGTGTTATGCCTCGTAAAATTAGGTTTACCAGCGTCGACAAAACTGCTGAGTACTGTCGATGTTATGTCGACAGAACTCAGTGGTAGTGTAGACACAGGTATAGTTTTGTTGACAAAAGTCCACTTTTGTCGACAAAACTCTGTAGTCTAGACACACCCTCAAGGTCTGCAGAGCAAGTGATCTGATACATCACCCTTCCTGCCCCAGATCTTCTGTAGTTGTTACCAAAGGCTACCCAACAACATAAACTGGCTGGCTGAGCCTTACTTCTCCATGGGTCTGCAGAAACCACCCGACTTGCCCTGGTGCACTACTAGTTTTTAAAGCTAGGCTGTTAGCCTTGGAGATTAGTCTGACTGGGCCTGTTTACATGTTTGTAGATGATAGGAATCTGCTCACTGGACTTACCTTCAGCACGTGAGGGCTTGTCTGATCCTCCATCTGCAAAACAACTTCAACATAATGGGTCAGAAGCATCTCCGGGTCCTCTCCAGCCATGGCCAGGAATCCCAGCGTGATTTCAGCAACTGACAGAGCTTCACAGACGTCATGGTAGGACTGCAGCTCTCCACTGATCATGTTGATCATAGAGTTGGGGAGGGAGGTCTACAATTGGAGGGAACAGAGTCATACTCAGCATTCCTCCTCATTCCCTTTCATTATGCAGTAAAGCCCAGCCACTTAAGCCTCAGTATAGGGAAAATATTCAAAGTGCAGGGGAGCCAAAGGTAAAGATGTTTACCTCTGTTTCCTTCTGATGAGAGAACACTAGGTGTGTGTGGATTTAAATCACAAATGGGTTAAAACATGGAGGCATCCTCATGGCCCCTATAACTCAAGAGGTGCATGTTGGAGGAGTAAATCCTGATTTTTATCAAGTTAGAAAGCCTCTGGTCACTTGCCTGTCCTGCTTTTTCCGTCTCAGGGACTCACCTGATGGAGTTTGTTCTTTACATCGTTAAACAGATGCTCGTAATTCCGGTCCTGTCTGTACACCAGGGTGGGTATTCCCTGTCAGGAGAGAGTGAACACAGATGAGATAAGGCCTGCAGGTTGTAGATCTTGGTGGAAAGCACCTTGGTGGCCCTTGTAGCACATGCCAGTTGTACTGCAACAAAATGAACACCAGCAGTGGCTGAAGAGCTGTCTGCAAAGGGAAGTAACCAGCTGCCATCCTCCTTACCACTAGGGTGATGAGCGGCTTCCCTTGCAGGAACCTGCTGGTGACCTGTTGCTGGATCTTTTCCAGGTTGAATTCCTGCAGAGTCTCCCTGCCTTTCTCCACACTGTACTGGCAATTGGACAAGATCAGAGGGACCAGGTCTCTCTCTACCTCATAACTGATCACATGCAGATCTGCCACCTCTGAAGGGCTGATGGTGTACCTGTGGGAAAGGAGGAGCCATTTGTTATGTTACCCAGAGTTGCACAGTGATGAGCAGTAGTGACTCTCACTGCTGGTGGACAAGGCTGTCCTGTCAGCCTTCTGCCCTAGCAGTGAGAGTCAAGACCACTCAGCTCTGACTGTAACAAAGAGAAGTAGTGGTGTGTCTACCTGACACATTCACATACCTGCTGGTGTCTGTTATGTATTTCTCCACCGTGTAGACAAAGTCATTGTGCAGGCTGATGAGGTAGCTGACCAGGGCTGTGGAGCACAGGCCCAGACCCCGTCTGCGTGGCAGGAGGACCTCATAGGTGTCGTCTAGGGTCAAGTCAGCATCACAACAGCCTGTGGGAAGCTTAATTGCACCTGCAAAAGCACAGCAAAGTCTTTCACAGTTGGCCCACAGCCACCAAGGCGGAGTTTCCTCCCCCGAGCTGGGGCAGGGAGCCAGTCATTTGACAGGCTAGGACAGGATGTACGATACGAAGGAGGAGGTGGGGGAAAGCAGTGGAAGGGGAAAACAAGTTCCCCCTTTGCACCCGTACTGTTCATCAAGTCTGAAGTCAGCATTCAGGGTACAAATCTCAGCACCAATGCTGGAAAGAACTTAGATTGCCAATGGGTAAGGCAGGGCTAAGCATCCATCACCTGGTGTCAAGTGACCTCCCCGTCCTGCCATTTCAGCAATGGCAAGAGGATACACAGCACACTCACCATTGGTATCTAGGGATCTTCTTAGCTTGTTCCACACCGACAGAAATGTGTTCACTCTGATTTGCCACAGATTCCTCATCTCATCTGAAGACACAAAATCCAGGCATCCTTGAAACACCCTTTTCTGGCCCTCACAACACCTTAGAATCCCATAATGCCCAAGCTATCCATATGCACTCCAGAGCACTAGCTAGCTGGTCAGAGGGAGCCAGCTCAATTGGTAAAGCAGCTTCTAAATAACGTAAAAAGCTAACGATGCATTAAGTACTTCCTGATGTTACTTTTCCCTGTTAGCAATTGCTGCAGTTACCAGAGTGTGATCCATGTCCACTGGGCAATTTCAGTATTAAAAGGTGGTCCATACTATGGGACAGTGTGAATCCCAGTCATCCAACACCGTCACTTGATCTTGCCTATTCATCCTGCTCACCAACGTACATCCCAGTCAAACCCTCCATATTCATGTGCTCAAATCCTCTCAAACTAGCTGATGACTCTTTGGCTATGTACACACTAAAGTTGATACAAGCTTTGTCATGCAAAGGTGTGAATAAGCCACAGCCGGAGTGACATGAGTCACACTGACTTAAAACATCAAGGTGGATTACGCTGTATTGGCAGAAAAGCTTCTCCCACCCGATATAGGTGTTGCAACTCACGGGACCCGGGGTAAGTAAGTTGACAACTTTACTTTCTTATTGGCCTAGAGCACCTGCACTGGCAGTGTTACAGCAGCCCAGCTGCATTTGGGCTGTTGTGTGCTCTGTAGTGTAGCGATAGCCTTCCATGCACAGGATAAAAGGGACAGGACTGCTGAAGGGTCAAGATGTGTCATTCACTTGAATGGGAGTCAGAACTCAGTCTTTAGACTTTGCTTTCAACTTCAGGAGACGTATCCATGTTCACTCTGAACCTCCCAGAGTCAAGCCCTCCACACAGGTTGGCTGATGCCCTGTGCGTGTTTCTGTTAGTTACAACCTGGAAATACTAAAATAGGACTATTCCATGCCAGTCTTACCGGAGTTGAATTTAGAGACAAAGTCCCTGATGGTGCGGCATTCCATATCTGTAATATTCTGGAATCTTTTCACTAGATCTCTCTGCAGAGCCAGGATTTCAGGTAAAAACTTAACCAGCCTCAGTTCTGCTTCCTAGAAAGAAGGAGAAGCACCAGGAGTATGGGGTAGTGATGGGAAGGCAGATCATTTCAGGGATGTTGAGAGGGCACAAAGCTCACAAAGGACAAACTTGCAGCCTTGATGTGTGTTCTGATTTAAACTGTTTCTGAATGCATATTGGCAAACAGCATAGTACTGTACACATGCAAACTTCATGGTATAAACAATGCTTATGTAATAACAGTATAGAGAATGTCTGAAATTTGAGCATCCTCCTTGCAGAGGGGCTCATGCTGTCCCTTCCCCATATCAGCCTGATCTTACTATATAGTTTAGAAATGTGCATCTATCAGTCTGAGAGTCCGTTTGTTCAAGAACTCCTCCTAAGCATTAAGAGCTAGGACCACCAAACTCGGTAGGCAGCTTCCTCTTATCAACAAGGTCAGGGTTTGGATGTGCATGGAATTCAACTGTTTCTCATAAAATGGAAGGGGAAGGGTCTAGCAGGAGGGACGGTTATATTGCAGAATGAGCACAGGAGCACCAAGGGGCCATAGATGGGGACTGGGACAGTTGTAACCCCATTGGGTCCACAGGGTACAGGGTGCAGAAAGGGACAACTATCTACTATATATTTCGGAGAACATGGGTGTTTGTCTGTATGTCTGTCCCCCAGCCAGGGGATGTGCACCCCTCTCCTGGCTGCGTGCACTGGAGCTGCAGCAGCCATGAATAGGCGCGTTTCACGTGGCTACAAGCTGCTGCAGAGAGAGAGGGCTGGGGTTGTCTTCTCTCCCTGGGGCAACCTGTGTACTGAACCCCTCAGACCCACCCCAGAGCAATGATTTAAATGGGAAAAAACAAAACAAACAAAAAAAAACCTTATTTGAGTTGAGGACCCAAGCAAAGCTGGGTAAATCATCTAGGTTTACTATATATGCCCATGGAGCAAGTAGTTGGCTTGTTCTCAAGTGCTTTATCAAAGTATGGTCAGTCCCTCCAAACTGTGGGTGCCAAGAGCAGGCAGGCCGCAGCAGAGTCTGTAAGATCCAGGCTGCATGTTCAGTGAAGGTCTCAGAGATGGCGGCGGAAGAGGTAGGAGTGGAGGCTCTCTCAAGTAATGATCCACACCGAGAGTGAAGTGCATTAGCAGCAAGGAGAGAACAATTCTCAACCTGCACTTTCCTGCTGGATTCCCATTCTACTTTAGTACTTGCTCATGGAACCCACATACACTTATTGTTACCAATGCAAGAGTAATCAAATCTCAGGCTTTAGGGCGTAAGTTCGGGCTATACTTTTTGAAAATTTCTCACAGATCCCTACGCAGACATGAGCAATGAAATCAGGATCATGCCCTTTTGGCTCTTGGATGGGGACCCATGCCACCGGAGAAGACCTCTGCACAGCTATCCTGGGAACTGCTCCAAAGTGCACCTGGTAAAGAAATGGTTGCTACAGCTAGCAACTCTTCTGCTACATGAAGCAGAACACATCACTCCACTATCCCACATCTTGCACTAGCAATCCCTCTACTACTAACTCCTACCATGTCTTGGAACAAACTACCAGATGGCCTGCTTCATGCTATGCAGATCTGTGTTCCACAGGGAAACGAGTTCACAGAACCCAGTTTCAAGCTTCGGTGATGTAAGTGATGACCCTACAGTATCAGTCACAGCTCAACTGCCCTTTCTTCTCTTCTCACATTTGCTCTCCTCACTCTTTAAAAAGGGACATGACATAGCTAACAATCCACAGTTTAATCTTAAACCAAAGGGAGGGCAGCTTTGGAAGGCAGATTAGTCTGTTCCCTTGATGGATTTCACATCACAGATACTAACACAAATTACCTTTATGCCTTATCTGTGATTTTAGTATATCAAAGTGCTCTTGATGCATACTGCTGTGCTTTAGTTTTTGGCATGTAGCTGACAGCAGTTGTCACTCTCAAGATCAAAGTCATCACATTCATAAATAGTTGAAAAGAAAAAGACATGAAGTGGTCTGTTGAAGTTTCCCTTTTGTTAATGATATGTTACAGCTCTCTGAACCTGCAATCACTCCTCAGTGCATCCTGGGACAGACATAGATCTCAGCACACTTACCTTCTGCAGGAACTTCCAGAGGATGGGCACAATGTCTTTGCCATCCTTTTGCTGGACTATATGCCCCAGGTACTCAAGTGAGATCCTCTTCCTGCAGCTCCACATGCGGGAGCAATGTATGGTGCTGTCCTTGGGGAGCTGGGCCAGGAAGGTCACAGGGTCACCATATACTATTTTCGCCACTGGGTTGGAACAGATTCTCTCGTCCTCACAGATCTGTCTGTTTAACGTTGCAAGCGTTTTGTCCAAATGCTGCAAAACAAAACCCCTGTGTCAGAAACACAACCCCTTCAACTCACAAACCCTTTGAGGAGGTCAGAGGAACATGAAACTGTGGTGCCGTATAATTAAATACGAGGATCACACAGGACTTGTGAGGGAGAATATACTGATGGCAGCTGTTCATTTATGGAGAGAGAATTTTGCCACATTTCCATGGGAGTTTAGTGGCCAGTTACAACAGGAGGATGTCAGCACAGATGGGTTCAGTCAGGGCATTTAACATCCATGCCAGGACAACCATTTATACTAGAAAATTATTTTACACACTCTCACTCCCCAATTCCAATGGCCCCTAAAGTCAAAGGGGACTGATTGCACATAGCTAACCCGCTTTGATAATCCCTCCCAAAGCCAGTAGGTACCTTTGCTTGTCTATCAGAATCCTCTATGGTCCCTTTTTGGCCCCCAATTACTCCTCTTGCCCTGGCAGAGTAAAGTGGTTGTCCTAGCATATGGTATCAGCTGTGGAAGCTGTGCAGGGGAGTGTGTAGCCTGCCTGGATGAGCAATGCTTTTCATATGTGGTGAGCAGAGTGGATTTAGGGACTGGATTTAGGGACTGATGGATCAGTAGATCAGCACTGGCATGGGCTGTAGTTCAGAACTCCAGGGGGGGGTTTGGGTGCTCAAGTTCCTTTTATTAAGGTTAGCAATCAGATATAGTAAGTGCTGTGGGGTCTCACCTTTAATTCAGGAATAATAATGGTGTTTGCAACAATTCTTTCCCATTCATTTCTGTGCTCCTTAGTGGAGAGGGTGTCATCAAAGTGAACTGGCCCTGCAACAGCAGCATAGATAGCATGTTACATTCATGATGTGTCACTGGAAAATGAACTTGGGGTTCTGTGAACTTCCCTGATTTCCCCTCGGGAACATGGGTATCCCTCTAAGCTGCTGTCAGTGTGTGATGAGCCACTAACACTCAGAAGTCCTAAGATCTAGGCATGTATCCATCGTAAGTGACCTCACTGGAGAGAAAATGCATAAGACGTTTTTATTCTGTCTCCTGATCCCATTTGACGGGAGCCTGAACATTTGTGAAATGTCCGAACATAAATACAGAGAAATCAAGTGACTTGTCAATGTCACAGTGGCAGCACAAAGAATAAACTTGAGGAATCTTGGCTCCCAATTCAGTGCTCTAACCATTGAGACCAAGTTCCTCTGTAGAAATAACCCCATCCTAAGGTCTGCTGCAAGACCAGTGTTTCAGACCGTCAAATTCTACTGACACCCATCCTCAGACGCTGATGGTTTCCTATTGTAGTTTAAGAAGGCGGTATGCAACCCATTGCATTCTTGGAGTACCTCGCAAGTTTCTGCAGCTGAAAAAGTTTCATTACAGCGTACCGTCAGTTATTCTATAATTCCTTTCAAAACTATCTACCAAACCATGTTATACACCAAACCCCCAGGCAGCAGGAGAGATGATCAGCCGATCGTCTGCTTGCAGGAATAGGAAATCAGTATCACTAAAGCTGGATCACCCCAATTGGTGCTGTGTTATCAGTGGAGGAACCACATAACTGCTAAACTGTCCCCCTGCTGCATTCTGCATTCCATCGGAGGGCTCACTGGCTTACACTGATTTGGGTGCTGGTGGGGCTCCTTGAGGAGGCTGCTCAGCAGG